GTTGGCCAGGGATGGATATGACATGTGCAAGGGCAAGAACCTCCTTAATGTGTTTGAAATGTATAACGAAATCAGCTAGTTTTTGCTGTAAATAATTCCAAGTTTGATGTAGAGTGCTTAACTCAGTCCAGCCCAATGTGATCAAGTTCGAATGGATGATCTGTCCTGGGTCTGTGTAAGGAAGGGGTGGTGGTTTACATTATTCCTTTATTATTCCTTGTTGTACTTTTGTATTTACATATGTATGGTGCGGAGTCGGGTAAAGGGTTCTTTACTCTTCTTCACGCCAAGTTGAATACTAAGTTCTGTACAACCTAGATATCGACTGACCTGAGGACTGAAGAGGCACCAAGGTCGGCACCTACACCGACCTTACAGTCTGCCTTGAACATGGCAGGGATGAGATCAGAACTGGAAGTGGTTTGGGTGAACCGATCCATTGCCTGAAGGATCAGGATCAACTGTCGACAGCACTCATCAATGAGATGGTAGGAGGTGGAGGAGCCTGTAGTCAGTTTGCAGAATGACTGAACCTCTATGGCGTCTGGGCCCAGCCATTGCCATTCACATAGCATGTCCATAGGTGCACACTCACAATAGAATCTCCATGGTGATGAAAACTCATCTAGTGCATGCTTTAGTGGGATGGTGGAATACTGATAGTCTGAGTTGATGGTGCCTAAGTTAGATGAGTAATCCTCCTGTGTGTGAGCTCAAGGTCACACGATTGAGTTTGATGATGGTGCGACCAGGGTTGGGGCACCAATGTTACAGGAATGGGTTCCAGGGAACCCAACCTGAGCTGTTCTGCTCACAGGTGGAGGTGGCTGCATAGCCATTGGGAGGAGAGCAGGAGAAGATCCAAGACCGGGTGTACTAGCGGTAACTTGGCACTCTGAGGAGCATACCGGTAGTGAGTGTGATGACCTCCTAATGGTAACTTGGTGCTCTGAGGAGCATACCGGTAGCAGGTATAATGGGGGCTCCTTGAGGGAGCCACCTAACAGTCGGCTAGCAGTGACTTGGCACTCATGTGAGCGTACTGGTAGCATGGGTAGTTGGCACTCCTTGAGGGAGCAGCCCAGTGGTTGACTATTGGTTACTTGGTGCTCAGGGGAGCATACCGGTAGTGGGATTTGTTGGGACAGGCAGGTTGGTTGACCAGTGCACGGTAGTGAGTGACCATGGGAATTTGTGCCTGCGGGTACATGGCCAGGCATCCTGGGGCTGCCTGAGTCACTTCTCCCTCCCAAGGAGGGAGGAAGGGTTGTAGGATACTACAGGAAAGTAGGAACAGGAACTCAACCACCCAGTGGGGGGGTGGGAGCAGGAAGAGTGAGGTCCGGTGTCTGAGCACTCACTAGGCTGTTGAGGTTTTCTCACAGATTGCAAGAATATCGATGTAGACATCGATATGGGTCAAGTCAGATGTTACAGGGAAGGTTCACAGTGGTGGCACAATGGTGGCAGTTACAATCATGGTACTGTCAGGGCACACCAGCCTGACCCGGCTCCACCCGGCCCCACCTGACCCGGTACCCTGCTGTCCACCCCTCCTCAACCTCCTCCCCCTTTCCTCTTCATTTCTGCTTCCTTATCTTCTCTTTATTTTACACAGACGACCTTTCCTTGTATCAATGTACCATTGAACCACCTACAGTGCGCCCACAACACACCCGGCCCAGACACCTTGGGTGACTCCCCACTGTGCCCAGCACGTGTGCTCACACCAGATGCCCTCGGGATCTCCCACGGAGACACCTGGGTGATTACAGCTGTGTGCAAGGGTGACATGGCATCCATCAGGTGACCTAAGCCACATGTATATAAACATACCTGAAGTGGGAACCAAAGAAGTAGCCTTCTTCTCATCTTTCCACTTCAGGTAAGTAGTATAGCATTCCCCTTTTTAATAACAATAACATCTTTCCACTTCAGTCTAAGTGGCCAGGGACTGTTGTCCCACATCGGGCCTGTCAGTATGCATGCCCAATCCACCCCCCTGCCAGGCTCTCAGCCCCGGACGCTACACCTGGGCTCCCTTGACCCTGGACGAGTCCCTGACAGGTACAAGGTTTTGGGGGTTATGTATTTGATAAGGAAAGACATCTCAGCATTTGCCATACATATCATCTGACTTCTAACCATCTAATATAAAAGTCACAATGGTCAAGGGAAGTCCCTTGAAACTCAACGAATCCCCCAGCCAGCACCAAAACCCAGTGGGAAAGCTTGGCATGGGGTTTGGCAAAGAACAAAGCGAAGAGAATTAAGAAAGTGTCTTACCTGTGTGCATGGTTGTCAGGGCAATAGCCCCAAACCCCGAGCCACATGTAATTAGATACATATAGTCACGTGGGTAAGCGGGAACCTCCGGGTAACTGCTTACACACTACCGTAAAATACACACACTTGTATCACTTACGGCCCTGTGTGCTGAGCTACCCAGAGACCTCACACTTTTTTAAGTGTAGGAGGTGTGTTTTACAACACAACCCACAAAAACCATCCAATCTTAACATCTGACTTGGTAGCGCCTATGGCACCTAAACACGCCTGCAAGGGCAAGGTCGCATCTGCAGCGACGCTAAAAGAAACAAGCAGTTTATTAAGAAACCACAATCTCCCATCATGGGAGATTCAAACCAAAAGCCGTCATCAGATGACGACGAGGATCAACACGATCCGGCATTAGCAACCACCTCAGGGCTGGCCCCTGAAGGTTTTAGAAACTTACGTGGAGTAAGTGTGGGGCCTAATACCCCTAGAACTCCACGACATACCGATCTAACCCAAGCTGGGGAAGATCCTCCACCTCCTCACGAGGTGATTGACTTGCACGATAAACACGTAAGCGCCGAACGATCAGCCCAAAAAGCTGATCAGATAGAGTTGCAGGAAACTCCAGGGCCCAACTATCCCCTGGAGTCCCCCCTCATATCCCCAAGTCAAGCCCCAATGTTAGAATGCGGGGATTCGGACGACTCCGGAATGGAATCGGAGACTTAGCATGGAAGGACCTCGGCCTCAGCGACTCAGGTGGAGCGCTGTGCCATTGCTGGTTGTCCTGGGGGTCCCTAATTTCGGATCTAGCAGAGGGAAAGTCTCTTGGGGGGGAATTCCAGTCGATTTCGGACTGAGGTTACAAGTTACTAGGTACATTGTATATAAGGAGGGGTCCGGAATCAAAAGGAACAAGGGTAGGACGAAAGGAGACAAAGGGAGATGGAAAGAGGAACAACACCGAGGGTCAAGTGTTTGACTCAATGGTGTTTCCCAAAGGAGGAATGAAGGGCCAAGGCCCAAGGAGGAAGGAAGGAGGATGGGAGTCGGGAATGGCTAGCTGACTGAATAGAAGGAAGCAGCAGCCCAAATAGGAATGAGGGAGAATAGCGGAATTGAAATGGACAATGCAATAGTTGCAAGGTCCGGAGTAAGTCCGGAAAGTCCGAACTCGGAGGCTAAACTCCGGAATATTGGCAAAGGTAATTAAATGGAATGAGCTAACCAATACAATGGGTATAAGCGGAGGTGGGGTCAAAGTCCGAGGTTGGAGCTAAGACCGGAGGTTCCGGAGACGAGACGTGAACAGGATACCGGAGCGGAGGTCCGGAGTTGGGAGCATAGGTTTTGCATACTCGTCTGGAAGGTGTCGAGGTTGGGGTCGGACCTGGAATGTTCCGGAGTCGGACCGAAGGTGGTGTCCTAGCCGGAGGTGGGATAACCTCTTGGGAGTCGGCAAGGAGAAAGTGATGGGAGGGAAGTAGGGCTCCGGAAGTCGGAGTTCGGAGTTCCGGGAGCCCGGAGCGGAGGTCGGGATTGTATGGATATGACACCCAAAGGCAGACAAAGGGAAACAAAGGGAAGAGCCCCCGCGTCGGCTATCCGAAAAACTACTGGACTTGTTCCAGGTTCTGTCCAAATGGAGGATGGAAAGCGAAGACCAACTTCTTCTCAGGCTGAAAGCCCAAGAAGGCGCAAAGATATGCCCAGAGAGCAGGATCTCCCAGAGCGCGGAAGCTCCAAAAGAACTTCCACTGTTTACACTCCCCCATGCCATGCCAGACAAGGCAAGGTCGCCAACCTCGGAGGAGGTCTCCAAGATAATGAAGAGGAGGCGAACTGAAATGAAGGAGTTTGCTGAGGAAGCCTTACAGAAAAGTAAGGAAAAACCAGCACCATGCTCTGATTTGTCATTCAGCCTATACTAGTATATTGGCCTACAAATGCAAACGCTGATACAATTGGGAGTTTGAAAATGGGTTGATATAGAATTGGGTTGATGATGCAAAAATTTCATCAGCTGTAGTACCAAGGGCAGGCTCTCCAATTATTGATGGGCAAAGTGGGCAATGGAACATGATACACTTTGGTGGAATTATGGCACTTCTCCATTGATTGTTGTGATCAAGATCTTTTTTTACAGGAAACATTCCTGATGAAAGCCTGATTGGTATGTCAGTGTACCACAGCACATATGCAAATAGCTTGTTTCCATGATGCTCAGCTCCCTCCCTAGCACCAGTTTTACTTGATGCTCAGAAGATGAGTTGAATCTGAGCTGGACAATATTCTGCCATTGCCAAGTCACGTCAGTATTGGGTGGGTTAGGGTATCTGAAAACAGCCCTTACTGTGAATTCCATTGTGCTGAGGATGGACAAGGACAAAGACAGAATCAAATACCCCACTTCTGTAACCACCAGTTGGTTTGCACTTGATGACCCTTGCTTCTGCCTTGTAGAACTGATTGAAAGCAGGAACAGTGATCCGATAGGACCACCAAAGATCCAAACCCTTGTATTGTTGTGGGAACCACTCTGAATCAATTGTATAGACAAAACAAGGTCAAGCTGTGTGTTGTGATTGCTGTTCATGATGATATCGGCAAATTGCTGATGGGAGGTCTGATAGTTCTGGCCTCCAACCAGCAACCACCTCAATAGAGATATTACCCTGGTGGGGCCTATCTGCAATCTTGATGCTAGAAAGTTGTGGTGCATCATTGTGTGGTACTAGTTGTGGCTCAGCAATTAATGAGTGCCACCTCACATACTCATGTTGCACCCTTTCCTTCTCATGAATGGTCAGCATTGATATCATTTGGAGTTGAAAATTTAGGTGGTTTGTTTGATCATAGAGTGATTTGGGTAGCACTTTATGGAGGGTTTCAGGTGTCTCAGAGCTCCAATTGCTTGGAACCCCACCTAGAATGATATCCTGTTGGAAGTGTGCCAGAGCCATGAGTTTTGATATCCAAAGATTAGTTTGGATGCCAAGGTTGATAAGCTCATCAGCATGGGAATACATTGCTTCCAGATGCTTTTCAAGCTCTTGCAAGATGCAATCATCAATCATCAGGAGCTGGAGGATTGAGATGATATGGAGGAGGGCAATGATGAGGGAAGTAAAGGGAGGTGAGACATTTGGTGCCTGAGCCAATGCTGGTGCAATGTATTTCTGAACATCTCTGTGCTCCCGCCCAGATGCTTGCTTTAACTTTGAGAGACCATGTTTGAACTGGCAACGGCCTTCTTTAGGGAGAAGAGAAATACGCCTGTCAAGTGTTTTGACCCCTATCAGCCTTGCAATCCATTTACATGGATGATCCCAGAAGAATTTGTGTGCACCATGTAGGAGGTCTTGACACAGGAACTGAGATGGTCCTACATCTAGATCCTCCCAAAATGGATGTTCCACATAACCAGAAACTCCACATTTTTCTTTATACACCAATGACCAAAACCTCCAAATTGGGGCATCTGGGTTTTCTGCCCTGACCTTTCTCAGAACATGCAAGGTGGATGCTCCAGTATGTTTTTTGGCAGTCAAATGTTCTCGAATTGTCGTTCCATCAGCACTTGGTTGTGCACAGCAGACAGGGCATGACCTTGCTGCAACACAAGCAATCAGGCATTGCTCCTTCATGTCAGCAATATAGCCAAGGAGGCAGCTCCTGCACATACAGACATTTCTGTCTGGGCCTGGAACTGGGTGGGGATGCTGAGAGGGGCGAAGTGGTGCAGTGATTATTTTCATGCATGCATGGAAGAGTTGATGCTTAAGAATCTGTCAGAACCGTGCGAATCTTCGCCGAGGGTAGCCGTAGGCGACCGAGCGTTGCCCGCTAGTGGAATAGGCGTCCTACACACGACCGAGCTTTAGCGAGGAATAATCCCCACCGATCTCGAGGCCGAGGCTACTTAGGCGAGAGAGCCGGGATTTCGGCTTCAACGACTCGGGGGGGAGCGTTGCGCCTCGTTCTCGACGCGGTCCCGATACTTCAGAAAGTCAGAGGTCTCACGGGGGACAGAGGTAAGCCTAGGGGGTGTATTCTAGTTGATTTCGAACTACAGTACAAGCACTAGTTACAAGCTGTATTTAAGCGCTAGGAAACTGAATAGGAAATAAGTCGCCAGATCTCGCGGAGATTGCGGGCGGAGAAAAGAAGGAGGAAAACAAACAAAGGGCACGTGTTCAAGACAACGAAGGTCAAGCGTGACCTTCGCCGCGAGGTAACAAGGTGCGGCGAAACATGGGACAACAGGTCGCGGCGCTCTGCGCCGCTAGGTCGTTCAACGACAATCAAGAGAGGGGTTGTGGAGAGGTGGCGGGAAGTGGTTAGACGGCGACGGGCGGCGAGCGGAGTGTGCGGGGAGTGTTCGGGCGTGGGAGAGGGTTAGGGAGGAGGTCGTCTGGCCCCGGGGAACGCCGGGTCGTGACAGTATCCCCCTCTTAGGACTGAACCCTTGAAGTCCCAAGGAACTGGCGTGGGAACCGGTTCGGCTGAGCCCGAAATTTTGGTTCCGCCGGCGCGGTGATCGAACTTACCACCACCACAACCTGATCTTCCAACCTCATGGCCCCCAAGAAAAATCCAACGGATATAAGGACGTGGAGCAAGGAGGACATCGTCGATCAGTCCGATGACGATGTAGAGCTGATGGAGCAGAAACAGGCGGAGAGGTTGCGGCGTCGCAGGGCTGAGATTGCGCGTCGTGAGGCCCAACAACAAGAAGAGGCGGCCAGGGCTCGAGCTGAGGCTGCACGTCTCGCCGCTGAGGAGGAGAGGCGATCGAAGGCGTCAGATGTGGTCGCAGGCAAGGTGAGTACCCCGATCAGTGTGATCTTTGCCAGGAACCCTTACTGATCGCCCTGATCAAAGCGTCCTGCTGCTACATCAGTGGCGGGGGAAGGACTGCCACCCTGCGAACGTTGCGTGAAGAGAGGCGTGGAGTGTGTCAAAGGCAACAGCGATCGTGGCGTCTGCGCCGCGTGTCAGAAGTCCAGGCAGAAGTGTGTACGCGGAGCGGGGACGCCTCAATCTACGAAGCGACCTCGTATCAAAGCGCCGAAAGGAGAGGGGTCAACGATGGATGTGGACGATGTGGAGACGGAGGAAGATGAGGTGGTCAACGAGAAGGACAGGATCTATGATGTGCTTCGCGACATCCATCAAGCGATCTCTGGTCTAACTGCCGTGGCGGGACGATTGTTGGAACACGTTTGTGACACTGAAGAGAGGCGGTTGATGGAGGCGAGGGCGAGGCGCGAGGCGAGGGAAGCGGGGGAGAGGGAGGCGAGTGTGGCGGGGTCTAGGGTCGATCATCCCGCGACGTCTACTTCCGACTCCTACTCCACTTTGTTCTTACATGATCCTTAAGCGCAATCCATCCATTCCGTCCCGTGCCTTAGGCGCGATTTGGTCCCGGCTTATCCGGGTATCGTGAGTGAAAGTCCGCAACGAGGTCTGAAGCGTGACCAAGTTCGGTCGCGGGGAGCCACTCAGTTTCTTCTGTAGTCCCTTCGTAACCGTCCCAACGTACAAGGTACAACAGCTTGCAGCTTCGCCGGCGATCGATTTTAGAGTCGAGGATCTCGGCGATCTCATATTCAAGTTCGCCGTCGATTTCGATTGGCGGCGGTGGCGGCTGCGTGCGGTTCGGGATGGGGTTGGGAACAGCGGGCTCAAGTTGGGAGACATGAAAGACTGGGTGCACAGCCTTCATGGTGTCGGGGAGGCGGAGAGTACGAGAATGAGAACCTGGCTGTGCGATGATCTCGAACGGCCCAAGGTTCTTATCGGCGAGCTTCGCCGAAGGCCTAGTGGTGCGGAAGTACTTGGCCTTCACGAATGCGGAGCTGCCAATGCCGAACGGGGGAGCAGGTAGCCGTCGAGCATCCGCGGGGCCTTGGTAGCGTTGCTGTGCGTGGTTCATTTCCTCGCGTAGGAATTGGTGGAGAGAGTCGAGATCGACTGAGTACTCCTGGGCTCGCGCCGAAGTCAGATCTCGCTCGGGGTGTACGGCAAGGTTCGGGTGGTAACCTTTGTTCGCGAAGAACGGTGAAACACCGGTTGTAGCATTCGGCGCGTTATTATAGGCGAACTCCGCCAGGGGCAGGAGCTCAGACCAATTGTCCTGTTGGTAGTTACAATAGACGCGCAGATATTGCTCCAGTGTTTGGTTCATTCGTTCGGTCTGACCGTCGCCTTCGGGATGGTAACCCGAGGTGAAGTGTAGGCGAATGTCCAGAGCCTTGCCAAGGGAGCGGAAAAAGTGAGAAACGAATTCTGAACCCCTATCAGAGGTTATGTGGGATGGAACGCCGTGCTTGGAGAAGACGTGGAGGAGGAACAACTTCGCCAACTCCGGGGCTGTTATGGTATCGGTCGTTGGCACGAAGACGCACTGCTTTGATAGCCGGTCGACGATCACCAAAATAGCCGTGAAGCCGGAGGAGTCGGGAAGTTGCTCAATGAAATCCATTGATATGGAGTGCCACGGGCGTTCGGGGATAGGTAGCTGTTTGAGCAAGCCATACGGCTTGTGTCGTGGGGTCTTAGCGCGGGCGCAAGCCGTACAGGAGGACACATAGTCCTTGACGAATGTGCGGACGCCCGGCCAGGTGTACTCTCGGCGTAACAGATCCAAGGTTCGGTTCTGCCCGAAGTGGCCAGAGAGCGGGTGGTCATGCTTATACCTCAGGATGCGAAGCCGGAGGTCGTTGGCATCGGGGACGTAGATTCGGTTGTCTAGCCGTAATAGGCCATCTGCGTTTCGAGACCAACGGGAGTCCTCTGGGATCGGGCCGGCGAGGTAGTCGGCGATGGTGGGATCAGCGGAGAGGGCGGCTAGGATGTCTTTGTGGATGGCGTCGACGTCGACGAGGGAGCTCGCTCGTAGCACGGGTTCGGCGAGGTATGTAGCTCTTAGGGAGGACGCGAGCTGCTCCTGCGTGAACACCGGTCGGAAGTTCTGAGGGTTTACGCGAGCGTAGTCCCTATCCCCCTCTTTGGGGTAGACGTCCCAGCGTCTAGTCAACGCATCTGGTTTCGCGCCGAGTCTACCCGGGCGGAAACGGACAACCAAGTTAAATTGAGAGAGAAACTCAGACCAACGAGCCTGGCGGCGCGTTAGGAGCTTCGTGGTGCAGAAGTATTCCAAATTCTTGTGGTCAGTAACCACATCGACGGGGGTACCGGAGCCTTCCAAGTAATGCCGCCACCCTCGGAATGCTTCATAGATTGCTAGAAGCTCCTTGTCGTGGGTGTCGTAGTTGAGTTCCGGCGCCGTCAACGTCCTCGAACGAAAAGCGACAGGGCGTATCTCGTCATCCGCACAGCGGATAGAGATAATGCCTGAAATCGCGTAATCGGAGGCGTCGGTTTCGACTATGATCGGCGCGTCGGGAACCCAATGGGTCAAAATGGGGGCGGAAGTGAAGGCGTCCTTAAGTCGTTGGAAAGCCGAACGACAATCGTCGGTGAATACCCAAGGGGCCCCCTTTCGGGTGAGCCGGGTCAGTGGTACCACAATATCGGAATACTCGTGGATGAATCGCCGATAGAAATTGGCGAATCCCAAGAAGGACTGAATGTCCTTTACCTTACGGGGCTCGGGCCAATCTTGGATGGCCTTCACCTTCTCTGAGGACATGGCAAGTCCGCTAGGAGAAAGTACGTACCCGAGGTACTCCGTAGTCTCGGTATGGAACTCACATTTCTTCGGGTTGGCAAATAGCCCGTGCTGTCGAAGCCTGCGGAGGACTTCCCGGACGTGTTCCTCATGAGAGGCTTCGTCCTCAGAGTACACTAGGATATCATCCAGGTATACGACAACACAGACATCTAGGAGGTCGGCGAAGATAGAGTTGACGAACCGCTGGAACGCCGCAGGTGCATTGGTGAGCCCGAATGGCATGACTAGCCATTCATAGGAACCATAGCGGGTTCGGAACGAGGTCTTCCACTCGTCGCCTGCGGCGATGCGCACAAGGTGGTAGGCGTGCCGCAGGTCGAGTTTTGTATACACCTTCGCTCGGCTCGGGGCATCTAGCAGGTCTGCTATGCGAGGCAGCGGGTATCTATCTTTCTTTGTAATCCGATTGAGGCCCCTGAAATCCACGCAAAGACGGAGCGATCCATCTTTCTTGCGGACGAAGAGCACCGGCGCGGCGTGAGCCGATGAAGACGGCCTAATGAAGCCGGTTGCCAGGTGCTCGTCTAGGAATGCTCGAAGAGCCTCAAGTTCGGTCGGGGATAGGGAATATAGGGTTCCCAACGGGGGGTGCGCACCTTCCTCTAGCTCGATCTTCAGGTCGAACTCACGATGTGGCGCCAGAGTGTTAGCCTTGCTTTTGCTAAACACATCGGCGAATTCGTGATAGACCTTCGGTACGGCTTCGAGGTCGGCGGGCTCGGACAAGGTGGATGAGCGCAGCTCGCTCGCTTGGGACGGGATGCTCAGGCTGAAGGTTACGGAACCTTCTAGTCGGGCAGCGCGGACAAATGCCGCAGGGCTGACTAACTCGATCAAAGGAGCCTGGCGGTCGGGATTACTCGGTGTGTCTTTTGATACGGGAACCGATGTGTCCGCTGGAGGAACAGCATTCGGCGATGGTTCAGGAGAGCTCTGGGAGATCGGACTGGATTGTTCAGACGTCTGGAAAGTTAAACTGCTCTTTACCCAGTCAATCAACGGATTGTATCGGGCGAGCCAGTTATGTCCAAGGACGATAGCACAAGAGCCATCCAATGGGGTGACAAAGAATGTCATCGGGGTAACATCACCGGTAATAAAACGGACGGGGAGATCGACGGCGCGGGTTATCACATTGTTTGTGGTGCCGTCGAATAAGCGGAGCTGCATAGGGGTCACGGTATAGGTCGGGATCTTTATTTTATTAATCAATTCTGTATCAATAAAACAGTCAGAGGAACCTGAATCTATAAGAGCGGAGAAAACAACGGAGGGATCACATTTTTCTGGGGAAAATAGACCGTCAGGAGAAAACATATGCGCATGGGAGACAGGAGTCCCGGAAGAAGAAAACAAAGGAGAGCCGGGGGCATTCCCCCTTGAATTAGGAAATCGACCGTCAATGGAACAAAAGGAAACCGGGACAGAGAAAGAATTGGGGCTGGAGAGGGCGGACGCGTTCAAGCGTACCTCCCTCTGCGCACGAACCGGTTGACCGCAACCGTCCGATCGTGCGTGGTCCGGATGGTTGCCGGCTAATTTTTTGGGTCAGACGACGAGTCTGACTCCGGTTCAGGCGTTGCCACCTTGGCTGCCCTAGCCTTGGAAGCGCTAGAACCAGCCTTGTAGCAATCCTTAGCTACATGACCGGCCTTTCCGCAGAACATACAGAGCTTATTATCGAAGCGGCGTTGGCGCTCTTCCTTCGTAAGCCTGCCATTTTTGTCGAGTTTTGCGGCGAGGTCGGGTTTTGGTTTGCCGTTGGACTCCTTGTCTTTTGGCGTTTTGTTACTAGGGTTAGGTGGGGGGTCGGAAGGGCGTTGGTGTTTTGCGGGAGAGGATTTAGGCGGCGTCTTGTCGTTAGCATCGTGAGCGGGCTTGTTGCGCCGCTCGGTCTGAACCTTACGTTCCCAGTAGCGGCCGTCGATATCTTCGGCTAGGTCTCGTAAGTCGTATAACGACGTGGGCTTACCGAATCGAGTGATCTCGTCTTTAATTCGATCCGGTAATCCGCGATAGAACATGGCGCGGAGTGCCCCTTCGCCGAAATTATCCAATTTGCCCGCATAGCGGTTAAATTCGATCACGTATTTACCAACTCGTTGCCCATCCTTCATCGTGAGGTTGAATAACAACTCTTCGGCCTCGCCGATAGGGTCGTGCGGGCCGAAGTTGCGCTCTAACTCGTGCACAAACCTTTCCCAGTCGTTCATCCAACGTGGTTCTCGACCTAGGCGATGACGGCGAAGGAGGTCGGGCTCGAATAAGTCGAGGGCCGGCCCCTTTAGGTATGACACTGCATACAACACCTTGTCGGATTCGTCGGGGAAGGCGTAGGCTCGAGTTTTGAAATTCACTTCGCATTGAACGAAGAACGTGCGGAGTTTTTTAGGGTCTGATCCGTCGAACTGGTCGGGTTCGCGGACTTTTTTACGGGGGGGTTCGCGGCGTGGAGGCAGAGGAGGTGGTGCTGGTGGCGGAGGTGTAGGGATGATCAGGCGGATACTGCGGGTGGTGCGGGTTAGTTCCGAGATTGCCCTGGTGAGCATGAAGTTGACTTTATCCTTCGGATCGACTTCCTCGGGATTGATTTCCTCGATGTCATCCTCACCATTGTCTTGGGTAGCCGCAGCGGCTGCTTCAGCTGCAGCGCCTGAAGTCCTTCTCTCAGTCACCGGCGGTGGCGGAGCCTGAGCTGTTTCATCGCCCTCGTTACCACCCCTTAAGTCGTCGTCCGAGTCGCTTTTGCTAGCGTCTCGGCGTCGCCTTCTCGGGGTTGAGGAGCGTGGGTAGTACTCATCGCCCGCCGTGAAGCTCTCAAATTGTCTCTCCTCTGTCCTACCTCTTTCAAATGGGGTACTGGAGCTATAGTCTCTATAAGGCGTCGTAGAAGGTCCTGCCGCAGCGTTCCTGCTCTGCGAGCGAGTCATACGTTGTGACATCGTAAGGGCGTCAAGAGCGATAGGGAGTTCGAAATACTGTCAGAACCGTGCGAATCTTCGCCGAGGGTAGCCGTAGGCGACCGAGCGTTGCCCGCTAGTGGAATAGGCGTCCTACACACGACCGAGCTTTAGCGAGGAATAATCCCCACCGATCTCGAGGCCGAGGCTACTTAGGCGAGAGAGCCGGGATTTCGGCTTCAACGACTCGGGGGGGAGCGTTGCGCCTCGTTCTCGACGCGGTCCCGATACTTCAGAAAGTCAGAGGTCTCACGGGGGACAGAGGTAAGCCTAGGGGGTGTATTCTAGTTGATTTCGAACTACAGTACAAGCACTAGTTACAAGCTGTATTTAAGCGCTAGGAAACTGAATAGGAAATAAGTCGCCAGATCTCGCGGAGATTGCGGGCGGAGAAAAGAAGGAGGAAAACAAACAAAGGGCACGTGTTCAAGACAACGAAGGTCAAGCGTGACCTTCGCCGCGAGGTAACAAGGTGCGGCGAAACATGGGACAACAGGTCGCGGCGCTCTGCGCCGCTAGGTCGTTCAACGACAATCAAGAGAGGGGTTGTGGAGAGGTGGCGGGAAGTGGTTAGACGGCGACGGGCGGCGAGCGGAGTGTGCGGGGAGTGTTCGGGCGTGGGAGAGGGTTAGGGAGGAGGTCGTCTGGCCCCGGGGAACGCCGGGTCGTGACAGAATCCCTGGAAGGGTGGCTGCCTCATTCTTGGTCAATTTGTCATGTGATTGAGGAGATGTGTATGTGAGGACAGTCTGGGTAAAGGAGGATGTTGGCAGGATTGCAAGAAGCAGCCAGGCACCACTATCAGGTTGCTGTCAGATGTCACCATGGATATTTCCAAGTGTCATATAGACAGCATGAAAAACTTTTGATCCAGAGAAGTTTGTAAGGTGAGTCTCATTGCTTGCAAGAATGACACCCTGGATCATTGTCCCATCAGGGGATTCTTCCTACTCCCAGTACAAGTTGATGCAAAATGCCAATAATTAAACACACACCTGATACCTCCACCATAAATTTCCTGTACAAGGCTCATGGAAGACACGGATGTCTGTGTCAGAATATGTGATGCGCTGTGGCTCATAATCCCATGCATTTGAAAAGCTAGGATTATTTTGTATGTGATCAGAGCACTCAAGCACATCCCGATAAAACAGGATCTGGGGCTCAGTGGGGGCATCAGAGAGGATGACCTCTTTTACATGCCAAGCTGGGGCCCCATCCATTGATGAAAATTTGTTGTACATTTCCTTTGCAGACCCAAAGCTCAGTTGTTTTGGGTGTTCTTGGGTCTGAATCAGGTGCATCAGCACCACAATACTGGTGCACAGGGACTCAGTCACATACCCAACAATTTTTTATGAAGTTATCAATGGCTCTCTGTGAGAGCTGCTGACCCACTAACCACTCAACCAGTCTCCATTCACTGAGATTTGCCCATGGAAGATGGGGGTTTGGTCCTTCTGCTTCATATCTCTCCTCCCATTTTGTCCTCAGTGGCTCGGCATTACATGGAGTCCCTGCATCTGAAAGTGCTCATAACTGAAGCCTCTTTCCTCTGTATCAATCACACCCAAAGGGAATGTGAAAGGATCCTCAGATCCAATCCCATCCTCCCAGTCACTTTCCTCATCCTCAAGAAGCATGTCGGAGGCAACTGATTCCATATTCAATTCATTGTCAGAGTCCGGAGGCGGGTCATCCACAGCCTGTGCTAGATCAGTAGCTGGAGGACCAAATGGGGAATAAAGCTCTGGATCAACTTCCATAGATGAGGAGGATCCAGCCTGTATCAGCAAATCCCCTTCCTCTTGAGAAGTTGATGGATTATCACTTTTATCAAGAGTTGCTTGCACATCTGCAGCAGTGAACTCTTGGAACTTCACAAAGCAGCCTGGTGATTTCCGGATGTGGTTCACCATCCCACCACCCCCAAGATAAACGGCTTTTTGGCAGAAATCACAGCACTGTGTACTCATCTCACAGTCAAGGTAGTGTCAATCAAGTGTTGATCGATCAATCGACACAGCCACAAAACACGTGCTATACTCTTCATGTTGAAGTCGAATGATATTGTAATATTGTAACATAATGCCGCTCTGGCAACATGCAGCACGGAAGCGCAGCATCCCACATCCATTCTAACACCACCTCCCTTGCATGTCTATGGCAGGTTGGTTGAGTAAACATGGTGGCAATGGAACAATAATAAGTGAGAGGGAACAGAGTGACAATGCCGGGATTATGCTATAAGTTCGACACATTCAGACACGGCATGCCGGCTGAGCAAATGATACTGAGAAAGGGAACAGAGTGACGATGCTGAGATTATGCTATAAGCTTGACAGCACCACCAGCCCTTCTTATCTTTCTCCTATTGGCATCACAATTGTCAAATTAGAGGGATGATAGCTCAAAAGATGGGGATTGGACACATGCTGCTTTGGAAGAAACCAACTGAGTCTTTACAATCAAAGGCATTTTTGGCAGACTTGATGACACGAGTGAGGGATATCGATAAAACTATGGATAAGTATACGCACAATTCTTTACCCAAGAGTTTACCATACCTGTGGGCGAGAATATCGATGACAGGCACAACCTTGCTTTCTGAGGTGAGCCATGCCTTCTCCTCTTCAGAGATGAGGGACCATAGCTTGTCCACATTGATAGTTGGGGACCAATACGGGTTGCACTGCAAGTGGAAATAGTGCATACCAACTTTACCAAAATAACCCGGATGGTACTAAGATTGTAAATGAGGAATGGGATTCTTCATTTTGTCAGGAAACACAGGAGGATCAGGTTGCGGACTCAGCTTGATGAGTACAGGTGGAAGCTCCGAGGTTTGGTGGGAAAAGGATTCCTTGAGTGTTCTTCAGAGGGATTAAGCTGAAGAGACTCAGAGGGCAGTCAGAAGAAGGTTGAGGGCTGAGGGCTCACTGGAACTGCCGCCTGAGATGGACAAAGTCATCTATAGCAAAGTTCCTGTTGAAACATGGATTTAATCGCAAAGATGATGTCTCACATGATGATTCTGACGAGGATTCAGAGTCTGATGATGAGAGTAGCTCAGATGAGGGTTCCAATTCGGACAATAGTGACGATGAGACAGATGTTGAGGACTTGAGGATTCCAACTGAACAAGGAGTTGGTGTGCAACGCGAGCACTCACCAGTGGTGTTGACCACCAGCAAGATTGTGACCACCTGGGTGCTTCAGTGCTCCCCTACACGTCCATAACCAGTGGAAACATGTCCACAGTGCTTGTCTTCAATATTTTACGCTGAGTTTCCGTGGATGGGTCTTAGAGAACCGGGTTGGCATTGGGGAAAGGGTAGTGCAGTTAGCCCAAGATACATCCAAATCAACTTGAATCAAGGCCGAGACCATGCGAATTTCTTGAAGACATGGATGAAGGTCATGACGCCATGCTCGACTTCTCGCTTTTATGTAATAAGTGCTTGTGTTGCTGCCTAAGTCACTTGTTTTGCATTATTGACATCGAAAAAATTTTCGCGCTGCACATTTTCTATGGCTCCAACGACAAGGACTCAACAGCGGAAGGGGGCCATACAGCTCCGTAGTGGGAAAGTGCAGCAAAGGGATGGGTCAGGAGCTCGCTACAAAGGAGTTTCCAGCCAAGCGCCACCCCAGAAACGAACAATCAGGAGGAAGGCCCTGTTTAGAGATCCATCGTTAGATAGGGATGAGATATCTGATAAGGAGAGGGATGAGGATGAGCCCAATGATGAGGTTGAGTATAGTGGTGACAGCGAAGATGGTGGGGATGGCAAAGATGAAGATGGTGAAGATGGTGAGGACGACGATGGTGATGATCGCGAGGCTGAAGAAGCTGTGGATAGGCCTGAGGATGAAGATGAGGGTGAGCATATAGATAGAACTCGAACTAATCCCCTGATTTCACTATAGGTTCACACCCACCACCAAGACAATCCCCAAGGAAAAAATCCATCATTGTTGGACGAAGCAAATCTGCTCGTGGTCTAGTGGTATGTGTTCTGTGTCTCTCTCTTTATTTTCCTTTACCCCCTGTGATCTACTGATAAACTGTCCTATAACGAGTAATCGATGATGAGGACGATAACCCAGCTGCAGCATGCATTGGCAATCCCATTGGGGCACAACTCCCTGTTGTCCAAGTTGTGAAGGGTCCAAAGGTAATGTCTCATGTTTAATTAACCTATTTTTTGACTCCTACATTTACAGAGTGGCTGTGGTTGCCATACTCGGTCACACACCTTTGGGATCCCAAACGGTTACTCAATGACAGCCCGATCACACACGTCTTCGACATCAAGGCAATCTTCAAACACCCAGGTTTCGTCGCATGAATACCACCCAAGTGCCAGACTATCCAGGTCAAGAAAGCCGCTCTCCACCTCGCAGTGCACGTCAGCATCAACAACTACCGACCCATCCTTGGCTGTGTCTGCAAGCCTCATCCTTGACAAGAACCTTACTGCCCAACAACAGACCGACCTCGACACCATACTCTCGTGCATCAAGCACCATTTCTGCTTCGCAACCAATCGCCTGTTCCCCAATGAAACAAAGGAACCGGCTCCTTAATCTCGCTGCTAGACATGCGGTGTTCAATTTTCCTAGGAATAACCATAAGCTCGTACAAGGAGCTCATCTTCTCCAAGTAAGCTGCCAAATTTATTGCACTTCATGTAACTAACAGTTTCAAGATTGGCAAGGACAAGCCATCTGCTTTTCATAACACAATCAAGACTTTTTCCAGGGAATGTATCACCAAGGAATATGGGTTCTCCCCTGTTCCTTGTGATGCCAATGTGAACCTTGCAAACTGCCTCCTCGACGCGACCAACTTTTACTTTCAGGAATGGGAAGATCCCGGTGTAAGCTGCATGATTTGAATGGAGACCTCTTGCTTAACAATCATTAGGGACGACGTGGCCGATATCGTTCGCAATGTTTCCAGAATGTGATAGGGCACTTATACAGGGATGCTGATTGGGAATTGTCATGGGAAGGGTTTACTGAAGACCAGCATAATGAGCTCCTCCCTCAACTGATTTGGTTTGCAGCAACAGCAGTGAGTGGCAATGACTCTAAGTATCATCAGGAGATTACTACATAACATTCAGATTGAGCATCTACTCAATCTGCATGCAAGGGGGCCCCACAATTTCAGTGCAACAATATACTGTGAAGTCTATGACACCCACATGAATGAGTACTTTGATTGGCTTAATGAGCAACAAAATGCTCCGGCATTGTGGAAAAACATATGTGTGGTATACCAACATTTACGAGTGCAAGTTATGTTTTTTTTATGTCTGTGTGTCACTAAATTGGTGTTTGCACCAGTGCCCCTCCTCCTCATCAAACCTTTCAAATCTCATGTCCTGTCCGATATGAAACTGATGACATGTAAATAGAAAATGTTATTTTGTAATACATGTTGTCTTCTTTGTCTATAATTTCTGCTGGTGAAGAATTGAGATGACAAAAATACTGAATTTACAGTGAACTCAGGGAGTTAATAGAGGTAATAGTTCCCTGCGAGTAAATAGACCTCTCCGAGCTCTCAGAGCTTCTCGAGCTTTGGCCCTTTCCCGAGCTCTCAGAGAGGGGGACCTGCAATTTTCAAAGGTCTTAGCTCTGTGAGCTCTGAGAGCTCTATGAGCTCTCATACCTCCCCATTGACTTTGCTGATGAGGTTGGAGTGGCATGTCAAGTAGTGCGCATCGATGAGATAGATGACGCATGTGGGCTGGTTAGGAATCTCAAACGCAACTGGAGATGAGATAAGCTAGCTGGCTGGCCTCAAACGGGCGATGACTTGAGCGACAATTAGTGATGATCTAAGCAAGCAGAACCACAATGGGTGAGGAAGTGCCCTAAAGGGGCGATGAGCTAAGTGAGTGCATCCCAAATGGGAGCTGAGGTAAGCGTCTTCATCCAATGAGAGTGTGTGAGACCACACTCCAACCAATCAGCGTTTGTGATTCATGGAGCGTGTCCGCACTCTTCTGAGTTCATTCTCTGCCCCATACAGTGCTATTCCACTCATTGCATGGCTGCAGTGTAAATTACATGGTCCTGAAATCAGAGCGAATCTTGGGCTTCATCTCAGCCAATAGCAACATTGAGAGTGAACACGCATGTGAGGTAAGAGTAGCAGGATCTGCCGCTTCAGGCAGCGTTCCCCAGTTATGAGCAATGTTGGGGATGTCAATGCGAAATGGGAGCCAATGAGAGGAGCGCATTGGAACCGACCCAATTCAGGGTTAAGGTTAAAACCTCAAAGAGCGAGGCTTGAGCCAATCAGAGAGCATGAAACGGTCGTCCGGCTGGACCCACACTATTAGTATAAGTTAGATGTTTGAAATGGAATGAATGGCATGGGGGAATGTAAACGGGCCGTTAGGCAACCGTAAATGATGAATATCCAATTGGGAACAAAGGAACAATAAAAGAAAAATGAATGAATGGGGAATATGTGATAACGGGTCCGAAATGGAAATTGTGAAGGTTAACTCCGCAACACTTCGCCACAGCGCCCGCCTATCCTCCCGTCAGCAACCTCCTCGTCTCCAGCTTTCCAACGAGCCCTTATTCGTCCCAATTGGTGCAGTAGATCTGGAGATGTGGCCATTGACAGGTGCTGTCAAGACCATGTGTGGCTATACACCGTGCTGAGCCATCCGAATATGGGGTTGCCATTCTGGGAAGTGCTCCGGGGGTAAAGGAGGAAGGTATAGCATCACCAACGGGTAGAAAAATGGCTGGGTTGTATGTGTGGTTATGGAGATCTGGAGAGGGGGTGAAATTGGCGGTGTGGTTGGGCGTGGGAATTTTGCTTGGGGTTGTCGGGAATGATGGGGAAAATAGGGAAAAATAAGGAATGAGTTTATGGAGTGTTGGATAGTGATAGAATGAGCATCGGGCGCGTCAGAGGGTATGTGGTGTATGTTGGTGGCCAAATTCCGCAGAATCCGACTTTTTGCGGTACATGGAGTTGTCCCCACAACAACGTCCAACAGTGCAATTTCATCCAGTCATGGCATGATTGTTACACACAGGGCACTTCACTAGCCCGACCTGTAGTCAGGCTGAATTGTTGACATTTCCTGCTCAGTTGGATTTCCCAGTTGCATCTCCATGACAATTACTTGGGCCAGTATCCCCATTCAGGCTGTCTCGTTCGGTTATGGTCCATTCAACAAGCACAATGGGTGCCATTAGCCCATCATGTTGCAAACTCGAACTGTCATCTTTGCCCATTCAGTCAAATCTCTCGATCGATAGCTCGCAATGCCTGCCTGAGCTATCATGCTCGCTCAAATCGCTGCATTCAGATGTGTCCTGTCCGTCTGGTGCAACAAACCTTGGTGGCATGGCACGACACATAGCGGAATCGATGCTCCTGAATATCCAGATGGACCCATCATCTGCTCATTCACAGCACTCACTAGAGCCAGTGCACCTAGGTGAACCGACGTCTAAGCGCCTTATCCAGCTGGATCAACTGGTTCCCCCTTTGAAGGGCTCACCCAAGCCAGTACACCCGTTTGCACCACATTGCCCAGTACAGGCTGGCCCACTGAGTGCAACTCACACCACTGGATTGACATACTGCACAGTGGAGTCACTGTTTTTGCCTGTTCAATCGGGTCAACCAGCAGGTTCATTATGTGCAGGGCACCTCACTAGCTCAACCTGTCGCAAGACTGAATCAATGTCACTGGCTGCTCAGTTGGTTCGACCAGCTGCAGACCGTTCAACAAGCTCAACAGGCTCTATCTGTTAGAACTGGGTGAGGGCGGATGATTCCGGAGGGGAACTGGAGACTTAGCAAGGAGGGACCTTGGCCTCAGCGACTCAAGTGGAGTGCTGTGCCATTGCTGTTTGTCCATTTGGTCCTTAATTTCACAGTAGGTGAGCAGGAAGTCTCTAGGGGGCATTTCAGGTCGATTTTAGACTAAGGGCTAAAACGAGTATGTACAAGTGCCGATATATATAATGGAGGGGGCAAAAGCACAAGGAAACAAAGGGGATCTGAATCGGAACAAAGGCGTCCAAACAGGAACAAAGGGATGACAGAAGCAGAGCGGTACCGAAGGTCATAAAGCAGAACCTGTGGTATGTCCAAAAGGAGGTAAGGAGGGCAAGGCCCAGAGGGGCAGGAGGATGAGGGGAAGTGGGGATGATGACTAACTGGCTAGAATGGGAAGAAGCAGCAGTCCAAATAGGGATGAGGGAAAAATGCGAGAGATACATTACAAGCGGTGAAATGCGGAGGTTACGGAGGTTACGGAGGTGGGGTTGAAAGTCCGAGGAATATTGGCAATGGTGTTTACGTAGTATGAGGTCACCAATGCAATGGACTAAGGCCGAGGTGGAGTCAAAGTCCGAGGTAGGAGCTATGATGGAGGCTCGGAGCAAAGGTACGAGCGGTGTCCGAGTACGAAGTATGGGACAACAGCGGAAGGTCGTAACTTGGTGGGGGGTCAATGGAAGAGGGCCAGAGGGAAGAGAGAGGAAGGAGGAAGGAGGGAAGGTGTGGAGGAGAGGAGAGGTGTCAGGTCCGAAGGTGAGTATTGGAGTGGATGGGAGTAGAGTAGGAGGATGACGGAAGGGTGGAGGTGTTGTGGGGAGGAAGCTGTCAGGGGACGACTCCCGGGTCCCCATGACCCTCCCCTATGGCCCACAGCCTCAGGTCTGGCCAGCCCTATCCAGGGCACAATCTACTGTGGGTAAGGAGATGAGAAGGAAGCTAACTTCTCATCTTCCCACAGTGGCCACAATATCAGCAAAACTTCCGGGGATACCCGGAAGTCACATGAAGGGGTAGGAACCGGGCCCGGAGCATGCGGCGTGCGGAGCGTGTGCGCATGCGGGAAGCGCAGCGAGTGGAAGCGGGTCCGGATGCGGGTCCGGGTCCGGGCTAGTCAGGGTGTGTGCCCTGACAGAAGCAGAGGAGTGGGAAGAGGAGTAGTAGGAGGGTGGCGAGAGGGGTGGTGTTCGGTCCGAGGTGAGTATCGGAGCAGACGGAGATAGGACAGGAGAGGGACGGAGGAGTGGAGGTGGAATGGGAGGTGGGAGGAGGTGTGGTGCCAGGACCGAAGGTGAATATCGGAATGGACAGTGGTAGGGTAGGACTCCGGAGGTGGTGAAGGAGGAGGTCCGGGAGTCGGGTCAGGATCGGGTATGCACGGATATGACACTATCAGCTTATCACATTGTAAGGTTGAACTGTTGTTCTTGCCCATTCTGCTGAACCTCTCGACACAATGCCTGCCTGAGTTATCACGCTCATATGAGTCATCCCATCCAGATGCGTCCCGTCTGCCAAGTGCAACACACCTTGACAGTTCAATGCATTGCATGGCTGCATCATTACTTTCAATTGTGGAGTCAGATCAGCTGGCAGCTTTATGGCAGGGTTCGCTTGAGCTGGCATGCCCATTAGTACAACTTCATCAAGTTGTGGCATGTGCACCAAGCGCAGGGCGCTTTGCTAGCCCAAACTGTTGCAAGGTTGAACCAGCATTGCTGGCTATTCAGTTGGGTTGACCAGTCGTTTCATCGCTTAGACCAATGTTCCTGTTCAGGCATTGTCCAGTTGCGGTCATAAGGTCAAACTGGCATCCTTGCCCATTCAGTCGAGCCTCTCAGTTGATTATTCACAACACCTGCCCAAGCTACCACTTCCACATGAGTTGTTCCACCCAGTTGTGTCTTGCCCATCATATGCAACACACCTTGACTGCTTGGCATGGCACGTGAGGGAATCAACGCTCCTGACTATACAGATGGACTGGCCATCTGATCTTCTTCAACATCCATTCGAACCACATTGTTCAGTCCTGGCTGGTCCATCAGATGTGAAGCTGTCAGGGACAGCTCCGAAAGCGGTGAGGTCCTGGCACAAGGGACTTGATGGGACAGGTGTTGGCTATGCATAGCGGCGGTCCCATCATGGGGTGAGTGTCCCCGACCACTTAGTCTGAAGTGGGAAGTTGAGAAGAAGGCTGCTTCTTCTGTTCCCACCCCAGGTGCTATTATACACATGCGGTTAGGGTCACATGGGGGAGCCATGTCATCTCTGCACACAGCCACACCTCCCTGGGT